TGAAATGACCTGTATTTAATAGAAATTACAATTAAGATAAGATAAGAAATGTCAAATAAAATAAAATTATTTCATACAAAAACATCTTAACAAATATCTGAAGCCCTATTAATCGAAATTTTCGATATTAAGTGATACATTTCGTTACGATGTACAGTTTCGCAACATATATAAAGCAAGTTAGTTTCATACCGATGCAGTATCGGTTGGTAATTTTTTAATTGGGTATAGTTGAATTTTTTTTGTTTTTAAATTGAGAGAGAGAGAGAGAGAGAGAAAGAAAAAAAAGAGAAATTAGAAACACTTTCTGTGCACGATGGACGGTCCCGACTCGTCGTACTCTTGTTTCGAGATCCACATTTGTTGGAAGGTGCTCAAGCTGGCCAAGATCGAGCCACCGATCCAGACAGAGTATTTCCTTTCTGGAGGCGCGATTATCTTGATCTTCATCGTGGACGGAGCCAGTGCCGTTATTTCCTTTTGCATCCTGTCCGCGATACCTGGATACATGGTGGTGCCGCCTGACAGGACTGAATTAGCATACAAATCCTTACGAATATCGACGTCGCATTTCATGATCGAGTTGTAGGTAGTTTCATGTATTCCGCAAGACTCCATGCCGAGGAAACTTGGCTGAAACATCGCTTCGGGACACCGGAAACGTTCGTTTCCGATAGTGATTACCTAAAAACAGTGTTAATTAATTAACTCGTTGATTTAAATATTCTCGTAGCTTTTAAACGCGCAGCGATCTGAATCGCTAATGGGTGTATACACATGTACGAGACAGAATTACTTGGCCGTCTGGTAATTCATAGCTCTTTTCCAGAGCGCTCGAACCAGCAGCTGTAGCCATCTCCTGCTGAAAGTCCAAAGCAACGTAACACAATTTTTCCTTAATATCTCGGACAATTTCACGCTCCGCGGTTGTAGTAAACGAATATCCTCTTTCTGTTAGGATCTTCATGAGGTAATCTGTTAAATCGCGGCCAGCCAGGTCCATGCGTAAAATTGCATGTGGTAACGCGTACCCTGAATTAAATAGGATTTTTCACGTTGAATTATAATTAATATAGATATGTACATGTACATATCTGTCTTCTTAAAACGAAATCTCAATTTTCGATCTTATAATCGTGTGCGTGACAGAGTGTCAGTCCATTCAAAAGTTTTCAAATCTTTTCACACAAGTTGTATAAATTAGACAAATCTTCCAGACAAATAATGTATTTCATTAATTTTCGATATATAAAGATATCTCGTCGTTGCAACAATAAAGATACGTGACGTTGCAACTTTTGTGGAAAACATTTTTTTAATTGGCATTATTCATGTGTATATATATATATATATATATATAT